TAAATTAAATTCGTGGTTTGGCCGAGTTAATTCCAGACGACGTCGTTTACTTCTTTCATCTCCCTTATAGTCATAATCGAGCGATCAGATTGGGGATTTAGGGTTCTTATCGATTTCTGGGATTCACATCCGATTTCTTGGTTTATCTTCGATTAAAGAATTCTACTTCTCAATTTTAATGTGATCGACTACTCTTCGAGTTCATATCGTTCAGCACATGGTGCTTACCCTCCAGATCTTCCGACGAATTGCGGATGTTGGTGTAGTCACGATATCATCACATACATATCGAAGACAAAGGAAAACCCTTACCGTATCTTCTATAGATGCTCGATTGCTTTGAAGGTACAAATTTTCATTTAATTTTTTATTGTTAACATATGGGTATCGATGTTGGTTTTTTTATTCATTAGAGGCCGAATGAATCGCATTTCTTCAAATGGGTTGATGAGGCATCGGTTGAAGAAATTAAGATGGTCGACGCAAAGGTACAGAGAATAGAAGAAGATGTGACGGACTTAAGGCATCAACATACTCAAAATTTAGATCTCCAAAAAGAAATGTTTGACAAGCTTGAGGAAGAGCTGAGTAAGAATCTTGAAGCAAAATTGATGAAGAAGATTGAGGATGATATGGGTAAGACAGCTTTGAAGACAATTTGTCTACTCTCTGTAATAGGAATCGCAATTGTATGGCTATGGGAGAGAATATAATTGTTGTTTCATGATGTTTAGACTGACTATGTTGTAATTTGTGTTGTTTAAGATTTCTTTTCATGTTAAATGAGAAATGGGGTATGGCTGACTTATAATTATGTGACGGCTAAGTTAATGTATTCAAGTTACGGCTGAGTTAAGAGTATAGTTATAATTTATAATTAGCAATTATATAAGTATATAATGGATATGACATATAATAAATATATATTACCAGCAAATATGCATGTTAAGATTGTTAATTTTGAAAATAAAATGGAAAATTTACACAATTTCATCCAATTCAAATTATGTAGTGTAGGTTATGACTAAAAACTTGTTCTTGTGTGATAGTTTCGAAATGTTACCAACAAAGTCTAAATTATTGATGAATAATAGGGAATAATATGGTAACATGATTGTATCATATTTAAACCTAATATTTATGTGATTTAAGTGATTTCATAACTTGATTATAACTAAAAATTGAGATAACGCATATTTAGGGTATGGCTGACTTATACTACGTTATGGCTGAGTTATAGATAACATTACGGCTGAGTTATAGATAACATTACGGCTGAGTTATCAGTAACCTATTAATTACATGATTCCGTTACGGCTGAGTTATAACAAGAAATTGACATAACGTATATTTGGGGTATGGCTGACTTATACTATGTTATGGCTGAGTTATGGATAACATTATGGCTGAGTTATCAATAACATATTATTTACGTGATTCCGTTACGGCTGAGTTATTGATAACATTACTACTGAGTTATATGTCTGATATATGTTTGGGATTACAAAGAAGTTCAAAAGAAGTTCAGAAAGCACAAACAACATTCAAAAGCAGAGAAATTGAGAACACATAGGAAACAACATTGAAAACATTCAAAAGCAAATAACTGTAGAAGTTCAGTAAAAATAGTCCCAGCAAATATCGTCCATACCAAGTTGTTGGAACATATGGACAATTTTCTCCCAAACCATTGGCTTCAACCACTCGGGCTTATCGTAACCTCGGATCCAGCACTTCCTAATCCTACGCATATTCGACATGAAAATGCAATGCGCATCTTTATTAAAGTGTGTCCAAATGAGTAACGTTTGCCTTGGATCCCAGTTGAATTGGCGCTACATAAAAGGAAAAAAATTAGGCGAAGACGAAAATAACCATATGAATGAAAATGCTTTTAACGTGTTTCTTACCAGTAGCATCTTAAACCAATGTATCTTAAAGTGGACGGGAATCAAGCGATAAGTCGGCCACTCGTGGTGCCAGTTCTGACAAATTATAGGCTCGATCGCATCACCCATTACAAACTGGTATTCTCTCCATCTCGTTGTTCTTTTGTCAACGAAAGCATCCCGACCAGGTCCAGCAAGAATCGCGTTAATCTCTGTAAAAACATGTCCTGGCATATGAGGAATGTCTTCCATATTGATGAAAGTTGAAATGAATGAGAAAAAGAATTTTGGTAAAAGAAAACTGATATATAAAGGGAGGATCAGATGAGAGAGATAAAGGAAGAAGACGGAAAGTTGCGTTGGTTAATGTAATGGCTGAGTTATCGTACGGGAAACGAAGACGAAAGGTCGCGTTACGACTGAGTTATCTGTAACATAACATGAGTATATTCCGTATGCTGAGTTATGTTACGGCTGAGTTATCATATTAAAGAAGACGAAAGGTCGCGTTACGGCTGAGTTATCGTACGGGAGAAAGACGAAAGGTCGCGTTACAGCTGAGTTAAATATATGTTATGGCTGAGTTATCATAATAATATAGAAATATGGATTACATAAAACAAACATTGTCTACACATAACCAAAAAACGAGAAAATCCATGCCAACAATATACCAACGATACTACTTCCGACAAGTTTTTGCATTATGCCCAACTTCTTTACATCGAGAACATGCGTGTGGTGTAGCTTGTTTGGATCGATTAGATCTCTCCGTCACAGAACATGTGTGTACCGAATCGTATATACGAACAACAAAACCAGGCTGATCTCCTTCTTGAGATGCACGAACTCTCCAAAGACATCCTTCAACCCAGCACTTAATATTCACTATAGTCGTATTTGATTTTGGTACTGAAAAATCAAATCCATCTCTCACTGCAAGAAGTTTAACTCGTTTCTCCAACTCGTCTTTGTTTGCGTATCGTTGTCCTACGACGAGGTTTAGCTTAGCCATCTCCACCGTTAAAGACTCCGAGTTCCCAATCGATCCTACTTTGCCAAAGTAATGACCTCTGTTTCGAGTAGCAGCCGGTAAATATTCATCTTTCTCCTCACGCTCGCCGTATGTAGTAAAGTTATCATCGTCAGATGACGCACCATCGGAGTCGTCGAATACGTCAAATCGGGTTGAAAACTCGTCATCTTCTTCTTCATCCTCTGATTCATACTCTGCTTCATCTTCTTTGGCTTCATCGTCTACGTTTTCACTATAATCATAACAGAAACCATCAAATCCTCTTGCGTCTTCATATGTATATTCTACTTCTGAAGCCGAACTGCGTGGCCGTTTTGTCCTTGAATTCGATCCGTCCTTCAACTTCGCGAACTCAACACAAAGTCGTGGCTGATCAATTGTCAACAAGCTTAGATAATTCTGCAATTGTCGATCGTTTGAGACATAAACTGGAGGAGTATCATGCGACATATGTTTCATATGTTTGTACGAGAGCATGTAGCTCATCGTCACCTTGTGGCTGAGTTGATGCAGTCCGTAGTCATCAACAACCAATTTCACTAGCTTCTCGTGCGTTGTTTCCGCATCTATTTGCACAATTCTATAACCTCTATCGTCAGTATTAAATACATATTTTTGTTTCTTTGCCCAGTTACCAGACACAACAATCACTGGAACCGGCTGATCCATCAACGAAAATGAAGAACAGAAGTGAAAATGCAGAAAAGAAGTGAAGAACAGAAGTCCCAAGTGAAAATGAAGAACATAAGTGAAAATGAAAAACAGAAGTGAAGTGAAGAACAGAAAATGAAGAACAGAGTGTAAGAAAAAACACAAGCTAATGCGGGACCTTTCGTATTTCCCTCGTTTATGCTGACGTGGAATTGTGAATTTGAAGTCGTAAGTCAGCCACCAAACAACTTTGTAACTCAGCCAACGATAAATCAGCCATCAACACAAATTAAGTCAGGCACAACATGAAAAGTAATTACTAAAATGTTTTTTAAGATGCCAAATTCAGCCGTAACGTCAATAAGTCAGCCGTAACGTAAAATAAGTCAGCCGTAACTGGAGGCTATATTAGCAATAAATCTTTTGTCTATAAGTCAGCCGTAACATGGTTGAGTTTTCCGTTAAGTCAGCCAATTACGGCTGAGTTATGTCTTTGAAACATAAGTCAGCCGTAACGACTTTTGATAACTCAGCCGTTTTCGATAACTCAGCCACCCAGAGAAAGTTAAGTCAGCCGTGTCGATAACATAACTCAGCCAAACTTCTGATAACTCAACCATCGGACTATAAATCAGCCGTAACGGCGGCTGAGTTATTAGTCGTTTTCTCATAACTCAACTAGATTTTTATAAGTCAGTCGTAACTGTTGGCTGAGTTATGATCCTAAGTCAACCGTTGACCCGAAACTCAGCCGTTGTCCCATAACTCAGCCATAACGTGTTATAACTCAGCCGTAACGTACGTTATGACTGAGTTATTGGTGGCACGCGCCTTTTTGTCTGACGTGGCACTGGCATTTTCCGTAATTAGTTTTTTCCGGTAACATGTAAAAAGGGCACGCTGGTAATTAAAAAACATTTAAGGATAAAAAAAGTTTTGGATGGTTTGCGTCAATACACCTAAAATGTGGTATATCTAAGTAATTCTATGAATCAAACGGCACTCTTAACTAATGGGTCAAACTATTATTTCAAGGGACAATTTTAAATATATAGATTGATTTGTATATAACTTTTAAATATATTGAGTTTTATATATCTTTAGAAACGAATTTTCAACTATATGCAAACATGCACAACTTTAATATATTGTAAATTTCATAGAAAACTTAGTTTATAAAAATCAACCCCATAAGTACGTGCGGGTCTGAATCTAGTATTTTTTTTTTTGTCATCATTACAAATTATATACCTCTCTTTGAGATGGACCGGACTCGAAACCGGATCTTGTGAGAAGGCAACAGAGGTGAGAACCACTAGCTCACTTGTCCTTCTCGGTCTGAATCTAGTAGATAACTCAAAAAATACATCGTTTTAAAACAATTATTTTTTTCTACAAAAAAGATTAATAAGGAACATAAGGAGTATCATTAAGTTCAATCAAATAATAATATTCGTCTACACACCATAATAACCTACTCCAAAAATAGAAAAACATTACTGCTTTTAAACCACAATCACATCATATTAAGGTTACTCATTCTCAACTTTCCCCTAACCAGATCAAATGATCTACCACATACATCCATTGCAAGATTTGTTGCCCTATACAAAAACAAATCCAACGCAGCAGAAATGTCTTTCTCTTTGAAGGCTAATTCTCTCAAGTGTCCATGAAAATCCTCGAATCTCTGACACTCTACTTCATAAACAAGTTTTATGCCAGAAGAGGAAAGCAGCTTCTTGTCTTGTGTAGTGATGATAACTACACTCCCCGGACCAAAACTGTTAATATCATCTGCAAGAACATCGAACTGTTCAAGCTTTTTGATATCGTCAACCACAAGTAAAACCTTTTTGTTCTCGAGCCTTATTTGAATCATCCACTCTTCAAAGAGATGTGACATGTGAAGATCTTTGTAAATCATTTTCTCACTTTCCATGAAAAAATGGCTTTCGAAATGTTGAGAAATGCTCTCATAAACTACTTTAGCTATAGCCGATCTACCGTTGCTTCCTCTTTCCGAAATCCCAATCAGTCTCACACCTTTCTTAGAGCTCAAATTCAATAATCGCTTAAAAGCTTTCATGTGTTCACCAGTCCCCTCAAGATCACTCCCATTGCTTCTTGTTGTATCATTCATCAGATTTTTTGATATTAGCTCAGTAATTTTGTCTACTATCTTCGAGTCATCTTCACTAAAGACCAAAAGTCAAAAACAAAAATAGAAACTTTAGAATCAATTCATTAAAGTGTTAGTAAAACATTTGATATATTTATGCTGCATTCAAAGATATACACCCTCCGTTCTTATTTATATGATTTTTTTTAGGATTATGCACACATATTAAAGAATCATTTAATTTTTGTTATATTTAAACTAAAACCTCATATAATAGTTATTTGACACAATTCAATTAATTAAAAAAAAAACAATATGTATAATATATAGTAAAAGGCTAATAAATAAAAGGCTAATAAATTATCTAATCAAGTCTTTGAGGATAATTGCATCATTACTTGTTTTACTACAACTTTAAAACATTAGATCGTTTATTTTTGGAGTTCTAAAAAAATGCAAATTTATCATAACCTTTTAAATGTTGTGTAAATAATCTAGAAAACAATCAATTAGCAACGGAGGGAGTATACGTTTATGTTACATTAAAACTTGTGTGATTCAAATTAAGTTCTGAAATTTTACCATTTCGATGCACAAATGCCGGAGTAATTCCCCAAATCGGTCAACGCTCGCCTCCATAAAAGCACTTTCTCATGGTCTTCTCTAGCCTCATGCATCTTAAAGTGTTCAGCGACTTTACCGATCTGCCTCCTCACATGGCAGGGTTCAACGTCGTAGAAGACGGGAATCACGGTTATGGAATCGTTTCTTACGAAATCCATAACCTTCACAAGCTCTGCCAGACACCAAGGGGAAGCAGAGTAATTCTCAGAGACGACAACAACTGCGAATCTCGACCCCTCGATGGCCCGTTCGAGCTCCGGAGATATTCTTTCGACCTCCGGAGATATCTGCAGATCATATTTGAAAGATGGAATTCGAAGCTTGTTTTGTATAAGTTCTGTGTAGAGAAAACTGATGAAGTTGCGACGAGTGTCGACGTCTCTGAAACTTAGAAAAACATCAGACATTTTTTTCTCTTTTGATTGGTTCTCTTGTCTTGATGATCATATATAAGTGGTGTGGTTAGTAGTAGTGTGGGCTGCCAAAACTCTTTCCGGATAACTTCCTCGCATATTCTTCCTATTATATTTGTGTGACTCTCTCACTTTCTAGGAAAATATGGTTCTTGCTTCTTTTAGTAGTGAAAAGTCAACAAAACACAAAACGACGTCGTTTCGTTGTAAGATTGTAAAAAAATATTTTTCTTACGTGAGCTTGTAAGTGTTTGGTTATGCGAGATTATTTTTAAGGAGATCGTTTTGCATAATTTTTTGTGGAAATTAATAAAATTATTTAAGGTGTGGATATAAGAGATTAGACTTGCACGTATTTCCTGTTTTATTTATAGATATATTTTTTTGAGTATTTACAAAGAATGAAAAATTAACTGACACATTTGTGTAATTAATGCAATTAATTATTGACTTCACACGTTATTAACTAAGGTACTACAGTTAGATACTAACTAAGTTCAATAAAATTGGACTATTATATGGTTAATGTGTATGCTACAAGAAATACACTTGCAAACAAATAAAATTATAACAACAAAAAAATTACTACAACAAACAAAAATTTTAATATTCAAAGACACTCGGTTACTATAATTTTAGTAATTGCAATATCATATCTAAAACAAATAATAGCGAAATTAATACACAAGATTCGTTGGTTTATACTGTCTAAAATATATATAATCATCTTTATATTAGACGGTTAGTTAAGTTTTCTGAAATACTAGCTAATTTTTAATGTATGTTTCTACAAAAATTATTAAATAAATTAATGCAACATTACTAATTTTTTTTATAGTGTGTAAAACATAAAAAAAAAATGAAAATTTAGAAATTTCCCCCGCGCTGTAGCGCGGGTCCGATTCTAGTTTCTATAGTAAATAGGCAAGGTAAGTTACATTACTGTCTTTAGTTGTTTTATTTTTTCTTCTTTTTTTTATCTCTTTTCTAGATTTTCTCATATTTGTTATCTATTTGCATTTGTTATTAACGAGATATAATATTACTTAACAGGTTATTATTATTTATCGTTATAATTATAGATATTCATTATTTTAAAAAATTATCAAGCTTATCATGTAATCAAAAAAGAAAATTATGCATAAATATGCTTTATCATAGTTATGTATAACTATGATAATTGAGTTAGCATGATATATATACATTTAACACATAATATATAAATTTATCACGATATTATATTAGTTAACAAATTAATAAAATGGTTACTCACACAATAAATAAAAAATATGAAACTTTTATCTTCTGCATAGGATATAATAAATAAGTTAACACGATAAATATAAATTTGTCGTATAATTAAACATTTATCGCAATACAATCTTATTTAGTACAATAGATTTATAGACTTATCGATAACAATATATTGTTATCATGTTAGCTCAATAAACAATTATATAACTCATGATATGTTTTGCTCCTTCTAGTTGATATATAAATATTGTTTGAGTAAATAAAAATTAGTTGATATCTATTTTATCATCTCACTAAATAATATATCATATACAAAAGATTATTTTGGTCCAAGTTATACAAATTGAATAGAGAGATTTAATTATACAAAAATTATAGGTATATTCTTAATTTTAAAGTTTCTGTGTATCTAGATTAAACTGACCTTTTTGGGTATAGTCTTTATAAAATAAACTAGTGTTAAACTCGTAACTATCAAACCGGATAAAAAACAATGAAAAGAAAATTAAAATTTCATGATCTATAGGTGTCAAGCGGGATCAAATCCATCCGCTATGCTTACACCGCTATAGATTAAAATATTTTTATCCGTAAAAACACAATCTCGGTGATCAACATTAATAAGTATATTTGCATTTGTCCTCCTTAAATTCGCATTACCCAAAATTTTCGTCCCCTATTTTATCAATAGTTTAGATAATGCTTTTTATTTTCCGAATTACCTTTTTCCTTTCGGTACCCGTTAATTCATTACTTGAATTTTTTCCCTACAATGACTCTTATTTTTCCCTTTTTATTTTTGTTAAGACCTACAATATTATTTCGCCAATAAAAAAAATACTTTCACCTAAGTTTTTCTATTTACCTTTTTTCTATTCCAATTGAGATTTCAAGTTATAAAAAATAAAAAATACATTTTTATCAATATATACAGACATTTGATCAGTGGATATTGATTTAAAGTAATTTTATGAGTCAATAGCCACAACTTTGGCAGATGCGGATGAGTGGTGTCAATAACAAATCAGCCTATTACCAAACTCAGTCCGACGCTTATCCCTCATTCCAGAAATTTTTGAACAAAACTGGTCGTTGGCAATTTAAAATGTAATCTTCACTCCTCTTCGGTCAATGACACTTTTTCTATGGTGGAGCTTGGGTCCTAAGGAATCATATCGGCGATATTTATTATCATGCGAGAGATGCATTTATTCCCTATTCTAATCGGATCACGGTGGAGCTGAGCTGCATTTTTTGTGTCTCTCTAGTTTGCATAACATGCATTATGACTTATGAGTGAGGTGTTGTCTTATTGCCATACGGCCTTGGTAGCGATTAAATCCCCTTCTGCTTGGCCTAAGTACCTTTCTCAGCTAAATGGGATTTGTCAAGTAATGTGGAAGGTTTCTTTTCATCTCTTCACCCAAAGCTAACTTGTTAGCTAGGGAGATTGCTTACAGGATGTAAAAGAATAGAACATCTTACTTTTTATATTGCTCTAGGAGGTCTGTCTTGGTTGCAGGAGCACATTGAGAGGGATAAGCGTCGTATAGAAAGAGGTTTATGTTTTAATTATTGGTTATGTTTTATTGTTGGTTTCATTTTCGATTTCATTTGTAATTTTCTACTCTTTCGTTTAAATTGAAGTTATTCAACGTTAGAAAAAAGTAAAATCCTTGAAAAGAATATGATTTAAATAAACCTAAACAAACACATAACCCCTTTTAATTCTAAAATCTAATCTCTAATCCGTTTTTATATATAAAAAAAAAACTATAATCTTGTGTAGTTACAAAATCTAAATCTAAATCTTAATCATCATTAATGGACTGAAAGCGACATATAAATTTAATTGTAAAATCTAAACCTAATCCTCCTTTATATATCCAAACCTTGTTTATTAGTGAATTCTAAACCCTAATCCTCTTTTATAAACCCAAGCCGACATATATTTGTCGTTGAATTGTAAAATCAAACCCTATACCGTCTGTAATAAATCCAAACAAACATATAACCTTGTAAAATCAAAACTCAATGATATAATGTTAATTTTATCCTATGAATAATATTTTTTTTAAATGGCAGATTTTTATTGGTTCCACTAGAAATGAACCCAAGAATTTTCCAAATCATATCCCCTTATTAATCAAAAGGAAGTACGCAACTTCAAAAATGGTACGTAATTACTTATACAATGCCATCACAAATTTTATCAAACTTACAACCCATTTTTTAGTTTTGCATTAAATAATAAAATAAACTATTGAAATATTTATCAGAAATATTTAAAATAGTTTAGATTTATTATTTTACAGAATATGAGAAATAATTAATACTAGAGGAGAACCCGTGCGATAATTTTTTTTGTAAAAAAATAAAAACTTGTAGTGTATAAAATATGTATTGTATAAATATTTGTTGTTTTTTTTTGTATATTTTTATTATATGATTAATAGATAAGGGTGTAGTAATTTTACTATGTTTATTTTTGGGCTTTTATATAAGCACGCATATATTGTAATATAAGTATATATATATATATATATATATATATATATATATATATATATATA